GGTTGTCGGGGGCTTTGACACACTAACAGCCATGGAGAACGTGGAGAGTGATCCCAAAACTGACCGCCCTAAGGTATGTGCCCTGGGAGAACAGGGGCTGCTCCTCAGGCTTAGCCGGGCACTTGTGGGGTCGTCTCCTGCCAGCCCTGCTCACGGGCTCCCTCTGCTGTAGGAGGAGATCCGCATCGACTCCACCACGGTGTTTGTGGACCCCTACGAGGAGGCTGATGTTCAGGTGAGGGTGTGTGGCCACAGGGGGAGGGCTTGGGGAGTCCTATCTAGCCCGAGGGGCTCCGGGTCAGCCACATCCCTGCTCCACCACAGATCGCCGAGGAACGGAAGAAGACACAGCTCGCGGAGGCAGCCCCCGAGAGCACAGTGAAGAAAAGCCAGTCCAAGTCAGGGAGCCAGGGCCCCCCAACCTACCGCCAGGGGGTGGGCAAGTACATCAACCCTGCAGCCACGTGAGTGGGGTGGGAGCTGGTGTCTGTTCCCAGGGTGTGCCCATGTGCTTACTGATCCGGGATTGAGCCGTGAGCGGGAGCTGGGAGGCTTGGTGTAGCTGAAGCGGGTGGGGGTGATGTGGAACGCCTGGCACCCACAGCAGCTGGCGCCCCGCTCTTCTCTCCCCAGGAAACGTGCGGCTGATGAGGAACCATCCACCAGCGCAGCTGTCCCCGTGGCCAAGAAGAAGCCCAGTGGAGGTTTCAAGGACTTCAGTGCGTGGTAGCAGCAGGCCTGCTGCTCGGACCCAGGTAGGGACGCGGTTTCTGCCCGCCCACGCCAGCCCTTGCCTGTTGCTTGGGTTCCCTTTCCTGTCCCAGGAGCCCATGGCCTCCTCCTCCCTCACCCATGCAGTGTCCTGGCCCCAGCCAGAGCCCACGTCTGGGACCTCTGGTCTGGGTTTGGGAAGAAGAGCTGTTGTCTCCTGTCCCAGTTTTCTTACCATCACCTCCCACTTCTGTCATCTTCTTGGGACTGTTTTTACTCCATGTGGCCTCCTGACCAGCGGCCTCACCCCGAACCTTGTTAAAGTCTGACCTGGAGGCGGGGCTCTGAGGTCTGTGTCCACGGGGGCTTCTGATGCCAGTGATTTGAGGACCCTGGACTAGAACCTGGATGTTATTTCCAAAAACCTTTCTGCCCCCTCTTGCTTGGGTTTCCTGGGTCCAGCTCAGCAAGGACCATGGGCAGTCACAGCCATGCCCAAGGCACGCCTGCTCTGGGTTCTACCCCAGGACTGCCCACCTTCTGTCTCAGGCTGGTGACAAGACCACACCTGGGTGAGGGCAGCTGGCTCCTGTTGGACGTGCAGAAGGCCCCATCCAGCTAGTGTGCGTGGGCCCCCACCTCCTTCCACCCTCAGGGCCCGTCCTTGTACTCAAACCTGGCCGCCAGTCCCAGCTCTTAGGACTCTCGGGCAGCCACGCCAGCATTTCCTAACTTAAGAGTCCCTTCCCTGACCCTGTTTTTTCCAAAAAGCTTCCTCTTGCCCACCCACCCTTGTTTTCTGTTCCTTCTGCAGCCTGTGCCCGCCCGGCTTCCTTTCTCCTGACCTTGAATCTACCTCAGCTCTCCTAAAGTGCCTGCAAAAGCCGGGGACAGCTGCCCCCTCTACCCTGGGGCTCTAAAAGATCCCCGTTCCCCTCACACCTCTTCTCAACGCTAAGGTCCTTGGGTCGGCACAGCCCACCACTTCCTCCTGCTCAGCACGCTGAAGTTCTAACTCCGTTTCATCCTTGGTTCCTCACCCCAAACCTCAATTCCGTCTGTAAGTCTCGACAGTTCTTCCAGAAGGCACCTGGCTCTCTCCCAGCTCTGATGCTCAACACCAGGCCCAAACCCGGTGTCTCACCTGCCGCCTCCTCTGGCCCTCGTGCACGGCCACACCGACGCCGAGTCACCTTCCCACAGCTGCTGACCTGACAGTGGCTCTCCGCTGTGCCTGTCAGCTGTCTAGCTCCTCTGCACCTTCAGTCACAGGGGTCCCTCGCTTCTTCACGACCCCTTCATTCCCTCCAAGCTAAGATGTCTGCGAACTCACTCGGGAAAGGCTGTTTGCACCGGCGCGGTCTCCGAGAGCCTGGCAGATCCAGGAGGCGGCAGGCAGGTGGGTGTGTGACAGCACAGGGCCCGGCTGCCTCTGGAGGAGACCCTGTGCTCCCGTGGGAGCGGCGTGGCCCCAGGGCCTGTCCCTCAGCAGCAGAGCCAAGCACCTGCTACTGCAAAGGAGACGCTGGACATGGAAGCTTTATTTCTGAACCTCACACTGACACAGGCGGGGGAGGCTGTGTGCTCGCACTGGCAGTCGAGCTCTGAGGGGGGCCTCCGGGCTAGGCGAGGCTGCAGCCCCATGGAGCGGCCCCCAGGTTGGCCCAGAGCCTTTGACAAATGAGGTTTACATTCTGTAGGTTACTTTGGAGCTTACATTGTAGTTTTCCAGAAATTAAAAGCACTTGGATTTTTTAAGTACCTGGTGAGGTCATCAGGTAAATTAAAGGACTTTTGAAAAATTCCCATTTCTGATCCTTGCTAATATCTGACAGATGCCATCAAGAATGAGTGTTAAGGTATAAAAATACTATATATGTATATACAAAACGGCAACAGGATTAAACCACGTTTCTAAAGCAAACGTACTGAGCCAGAGGACACAGCACAGTTTTAAGTTAAATGCATTTGTAATCCTGGCATCACCTCCCACTCAGGGAAAAAATAGTTTAAATAACTCAAAAGTCGGGATGACATTTACTGTTTAGGAATTTGAGAGGGTGGAACATACCAGCACATAGTTGTGGCTCGTGCATGTCCTTCCCTGAAGCCAGCTCAGTTCATTTGGTTTCAAAAGGAGCTTGGGTTTTGCAGACCAACAAAAAAGTGGTGAGAATATTTGTATCAATTATATAAAAAAACAAAAAAAAGGCATAAGACCAAGAAAAAGGTTTTGATGCCATCAAATATACGATACAAAACCAAAGTGCTCAAATTGAAGGAGCAGTAAAATTGCCCAGAACATATAAAAGCTTTAAATAGAAGTTCAGTATTTACAAAACTGGTCAGGAGAATTTTAGATTCAGTTGCAGCAAAGACCTGGAGACACGCAGGAGCCGATGCCCTGGCCCAGCGGTAGGGGCACAGCGCCGCCCACTTCCCTGGTCCGCGGAGCCTCAGGTGCAGCGGAGGCTTGTAGAGGAACCAAAGCGAGAAGGGCGTGTCCATTTCGGCCAGGTTTGCTCCACGGGGACTCAGGGAAGGCTCCCTCAGTCCCTCCACGTGTCCCCTAAGGACCGAGCTGCAGGTGTTCGCGCGAAGCGTCTTCAGGTTTCCCACTGCTCGCGGCCCTGGAGGCCCGCGGCTGCACAGCGAACCCGACCTTGGACAGCGGCCGGGCGGTCAGCCTCTCTCTTTGGACGCCAGCCAGAGCACTGCGAGTGCAGAGGCTGCCACAGTGGCACCCGGACCGGGACCTTCCTTCAGCCCAGGATGCGCGGCAGAGGCTCCTCGGCCCTAACCAGCCTGCTCTCCGGCTGCCATGCTCCCCGTGTCCCAGGGCTTCGGGACTCAGGCAGAGATGGTGCCAAAAGGGGAGCTCCAGGTGAGCAGCCGAACCAGAACCGGGCAGTGAGCCCAGTGCCTGCACGGCCACGGCTCTGGGCTTGGGAGGCTGGGGTCGGAGCAGGGGCTCATGCTCGCTGCCACTGGACTAACCTCGCCTACAGGGTGAGAAGCGCCTGGGCACACGGCTCTCTCCCTGCTCCCCGGGGCCCCTTTCCTGCCCGTGGCGCCGGGATCCAGTGAGCCCCACGCCACGGCAACCACAGAGGCCTCCCCGCACGCCTGGAGCAGCAGCTGGCCCACAGGCTGGAGTCGGGTTAGAACATTGAAACAAAACTTATTTGGGAACATTTTTGATCTAAATTCTTTACAAATTGGCCAAAACCCGTGCAGTGCCCACTCCCTGCAGAAGCAGGGGTGGGTCAAAACTTAAAACATGTGGCGGCTTCTCAGGACCTAGGACACTGCGCAGGCCCTTCTGGGACAGCCCATGGGACAGCCCGGCGAGGCAGGGTGACCCGTGAGCAAACCAAACATCTCATTTACGAAGTTTAAACCTGTCTTGCAACTTTAACCTTTTCTGAAAACATTAAAAACAACCTACCAAATCTCAAGTTTGAAAGTTTGTCCCGTTAGTTCCGGCCTCTTTCATATGCAAAAATAATTATTTTTCTTCAAGTACATCAGAGTAGAAAAGGAAGTCGGATTTACTCAGTCCAGTGTGTTAAACTAGTACTCCATGGACCAGCGCTCAGTGCCTGCCTCACGTCAGCCCCACCTCCGGAGCCTGGTCCGGGACTTGGCCCTGGCACAGCTGCGCCCGCAGGCCCTGGGTCAGTCTTTGCTAACAACTGGTTCACTTGATTCCTAGATAAGGAGGCTATTGGCTTAAATAAACAGGATGTTCCATTGAACACATTTCTCTATTTCTAGCTCACCTAAAATGTGATCAATGGTATCTTCTGGTTTTGAACAAGGCTAAGAAAAACACCCTTCGTGTACAGATTTGACTGCTTCTGGAATATTCTGAAATGAGCACTGTGACTTAACAGCTCATTTGCAAGAGAAATAACCAATTTGTAATTCTGCAAATTAGGAAAAAAGTGGGCTATAACGCTGTCCTTCTAAACGACAGGGGTGAACCTGCTCTAAAGACCCTGTCCCTGTGGTCTGTAGATGTGGCTTGTTTCTGTCAACTGTGAAAGAGCAGCCAAACTTGATCTTAAAGTCACAGGTTCAAGAAGGTATCAACTAGACAGGTAAGCCATCAGCTGGTTAATTCTTCCTCTAGAATTTGAGACACTAGAAAAGGGTCACTGAAACGTTTCTGAAACGACCACATACAGGAAGAGGACATAGACCAAATGGAGCCTTACCCACGGGAGCGGCCGGCAGAGGCAGGCTTGCAAGGTTCAAGTTCAAGAAATAGTCATCCAGGGCGCTCCTGTTTCCATTCCAATACAGTCTCTCGCCAAACAGGATTCGGAAGAGAACAGGAAGCCTTCGCTTTACTCCCAGCCATTGTCTTTGATCATGTGGGCAAGCTCAATGATGAATTTCCCTTCCTTATATTTCTGACTGCTTTCAAAGGCGTGTTCCTTGGGGGAAAAGTAGAAACAGGAGGTTTCAGGAAAGACTCTGTTTCATTCTCAACTTTGCTGCACTGTGAGCAGAGAAAGTAAAGTGAGTGTATGGTAGCACGTCTCCCAGACGTCCCCTGCACAGGCTCATGGCGGGGGTCTGTCTCGGGTGACAGCCCATGGAGGGCAGCGCAGGGCTGCTGTGCCTGTGGCATCAGGTTACAGTTCAACTTAGCACCTGCCCTGTGCAGGGCAATTTGGGAGGAGGAAGAGGAGCGCAATGCGCCTTCCAGGGACTCCAGGCGAGAGGAGGGTGCCGGTGACTGCACTGGGAGCCCGGGCATAGTTCAGAGATGCTGTAGGGAGCGAAGGCCCTTTGTTGGGGGCCGGGGTGGTCAGGGATGGAATGGGCCAAGCAGGGGGACGGGCGGGGGAATGTGCAGGCCTCACTAAGCTCGCCTCTGTGCTGGGCGCTGTCTCCCCTCATATTGATGGGGACGTGGGACACAGCAACGATCGAGAATTCCAGGAGGGAGAGCCGTGCCCTGACGAAGAAAACCAGGATGCATGCAGGAGGCAGCCGATCAATCATTCTCATCATTGATGCTTCTACCTCTCTCTTCCTCTCCCCTTCTCTCTGAAAGCAATGAAAACATTTTAAAAAATGAACTCTTGCTCGGCCAGCATGGCTCAGTGGTTGAGCATCAACCTATGAACCAGGAGGTCATGGTTTGATTCCGGGTCAGGGCACATGCCCGGGTTGCGGGCTTGATCCCCAGTCCAGGGGGCATATGCAGGAGGCAGCCAATCAATGATTCTCATCATTGATGTCTCTCTCCCTCTCTCTCTTTCTCTCTGAAATCAATAAAAATATATATTTAAAAGAAAAATGAACTCTGATAGGATTACACTTCCGGGGGAGATCTACGTATTTGCAAATTTTGTTTCCATTTGTAAATGTTTTGTTTATCGTAGTACATCTGCGTGTTCTCTGGAATGTCAGAACAAGGCGGTCACTCACGTATTTCCACCCGAGCGTGGTTTTGCAGTTCTCACAGTAGATGTCTGCGACGGCGTGCAGGCCGGTGAGAAGGACCCTCTCCTCGGCCGGGCCGCAGCCCACGTTCACCCTGCAGGAGGGAGCAGCCGATGCTGGGGACCTGCCCCCTGAGGGCCTTCCCACCAGCACCACGCCCCCGGCCCCCCCCCAGAGGGGCCACCCCCTCGGTGGTGATTTCTTGAGGCAGTTGGTTACCAGACAGGCAGCAGTGTTGTAACTGTCCGCCTCCCCCAGGCCTGCCCATCGCCACCTCTCAGGAGAAGGCACCACCTTTTATCTCCCCAGGACGGGCAGGCTCTGGGAGGTGAGCACAGTGCTGCTGTAGCAAAACTCACCCCCCCGCCCCCAAACGGGAAGGAACCCCTCGGTGGTGATTTCTTGAGGCAGTTGGTTACCAGACAGGCAGCAGTGTTGTAACTGTCCGCCTCCCCCAGGCCTGCCCATCGCCACCTCTCAGGAGAAGGCACCACCTTTTATCTCCCCAGGACGGGCAGGCTCTGGGAGGTGAGCACAGTGCTGCTGTAGCAAAACTCACCCCCCCGCCCCCAAACGGGAAGGAAACCACAGTATGTGTGCAGACCAATCCCTCAGAGCCGCATGCCTTCCCGAAACTCTCAAGACGAGAGAGAATTCTTTAAGATCATGTAAGAGACACGGGTCGTTCTAGACGCTGGGCAGCACTGAACCCCAGCACCGAGTGCTTCAATGGGCACAGACGCGACCCCTGGGATCTGACACCGACCACAGCAGCCCCCGGCTGAGTGGCCGTGATACTCACACAGAATTGAAGAGGTAGGCGCGCCCCTGGCTTCCCTGAAAGGACTGAAAGAAGAGCAGAGTGTTAAAGGTGATTGTGACGAGGCAAAGGTGACAGGAGTCTCGAGTTTTGGAATGAAAGTGGAGGAGCTGTGTTTCAGGTCACGGGTCAGCACACGGGCTGAAGGGCTGCCTGGCAGAGCGCGAGGGGCTGAGCTCAGGGCCTGGAGCAGGACAAGA